TGATTTCAAAAGAAATGAAATAAAGAGTATATATTTTTTTATAAAAGAAAAAGGAGAAAAGAAGAAGAATGGTGAAGAGAAATGAAAGATGGTGATGAAAGTGATAGAGACAGTAACACAGAGTGGAATGGGTTGCGTGTTCCTCGCGAGTTTCTTTCCCTTTTCCTTTTCTTTCTACCCTCAGACACCAAAAAACAAAATCCATCACCTAATGTAATAATATCATTTTAACTGTTCTTCTTCGTCCATTGTTATTAACTATGTAATACTCGTATAACATTAATACATTTGTAGCCTATATTCAATGGGATGCATGCAATACTCTATGCGACGGTATAAAGTCATTTTCATAAAAAAATTCCTCCCACAATTTCCATTAATCGAAATGGGAAAATTTCACCTATATGGAATTACGGATTGTTGAAAGAATTGCTTGGTGTTTTGACCTATTTTTAGTTTTATCTGTAGACATCATTTTTGTTTACCTACTGTTTATTTCGAGTGAGTACAAGTTCTACTGTTCTAGGGTTAAGTTAAACTAATATTCAGTTAAAGAAAATCATATATCTACATTGGTCAATTCAATCATTGTTACATGTTTTAAAGCATAAACGTATCGAATCTTAAGTGATAGATCTTCCAAAAAGAAATAGATAAGATATTTGTATGACTAAAAGATTTAGATATTTTTATAAGAAAAAAAAAAAAAAAGGTGAGTGGATTCTGAAGTTCACTGTCACTTACTTCTGACGAAATTAACTGAAGTGAATCGTTCCCCCATGTTTTATGGGTTTGGATTTCCCCCTCTGACGTCGTTGCTTTTAACACTCTCTCTCATTTCAATATTTACATATATATCATACACCACACGTCGTTAGTGTGACTATTAGCCATTAGGGTACTATCTGCAATGAATAATTTGCAAAAAAGAATATGTTAATCAAACTTATTGTTATTTTGATGCAATTATTAAACTTAGCCATGGCAAATACGATTATATTATATTTACGTGAATAGTTAAATAAAAGTTATAACCATTATTCACCTTAGAAAGTTATAATTTTCCTCTTCTTTGTTAAAGATTTTACATCTCAATCCAATATGTAAAGAACCGGTTTCATACCTAATTATAGTTTAGTCACTAGTTTTTTTTTTTTTGGAGAAAATAGTTTAGTCAATAGTTGTAGTAAAAAAGAAATATAATAGTTGTAGTAGGGTTCTTTGTTGATGAATTAGAACAGTAAAAAAAATAAAATAAATAACAGTTGTAGTAGGGTTCTTTGTTGATGAAATATATATTTAACTCACAATGCTGTTGAAATGCTGTGTACATATATCAATAGTTTATCTTACAGTTGTTAATTTCAACTCACAATTGTTAAGATGCATTTTGATGATCATTAACGAATTATGATGCGGTAAAAGCAGAGATAGAGACACTGCTCCATCTGCGCATGTGGCATGTTCCAACATAGCTTACAATTTAGTCCAGGCCCAAATAAACGATACGGCTCATCATGGTTCAAGAGAGAAGTCTTGTCTTTAGTTTTAGCAGAGTGTGATAATCCAAATTAACAAGCAAATGGAACTAAACCCAAACTGAGATTAAAGAATAAAAAATCGTTATTTCTCCACAGTAAACAAGATCAAACCAGTTATAGTCCAATTGAACTAAATAATACCAAACAAAAACATAGATAAGCTCAAGTGCACAACAAAATAAAAATTGTCTTAAACTTCTTCCTCAGCTTCGTTCTCAGGAATGTTGAAGTAACTCAACTCATAGAGGTTACGGTCCTTGTTCCCTGCAATCACTCTAAGCCAATCCCTCACGTTGTGCTTCTTCAGATACTTCTTCGTCAAGTACTTGAGATATCTACACATACAAAAAGAAATCATACAAAACACTATTCTAATATTCAAATTCTACCAAGAATTTAGCAGCAACACTTAAACCTAACATTATATTATATATCTTGGAGAATTCCCCTTTGAAGCTGCAGCTGCACTTCCACGACTCATTTTCACCATAACAGTCCAAAAACATATCAACCGTTCATAAAAGTTTAGCAATAATTATAAGACAAAAGACTACACAAATAATTCTTAAATATCAGATTACAAGTTATACACAGAACGTTCTGCGGAAAGATTATTCAAAGTTCAAATAGGGGACACGTTAAGAGCTTACCTGTTATACGAAACGACGACATTTTAGATGAAAAGCGTCGAGAAGTTTTAGAGCTTTAGGCTGATTTAATTGTTCGAAAAGGCCCACGTATCTTAATGGGCCGAAAAGCCATTTTGTTCGGCTTTTAACTAGATGAATAGATTAATCGATATGGAATGATGCTGTAGGTTCGTAACCTAGTTATAATATAAATTTTCACAGAACTTCATTTTAATTTTGCCACTAAGTCAACAGCTCACTAGAATAATTTGAAAAGAAAAAATTAGACTCAAAAAGATGGTAGGAGCCGCGCGAACGCAGGCTCCCTCTGCCACAAATAATGACGCAGGCTCTCAGTGGCGGATCCAGAGAAAGTTTTAACATGTGTCAATTTTTTAATAATAATAATTTCAAAAATAAATAGGGGTCAAGTGGGTATCGATCTCTAGTTTTAGGGGGGTCAGAGTGCTACTTTAGCCAACAACACTACTGAATCCTTACTGTTTTTCATACAATTTAAATATTTGTCATATTTAAGGGGTGTCATGTGACACCCCATTGGACTTAATAGATCCGCCTCTGCAGGCTCTCCCACTTGGGGAGACCTTAGGCTAAGCACCCCTCCTGTATGTGCAATGGAGGTCACTAGCCTAGGCCACTCATCTTCTTTGAACGTAAACGATGTGGGATGTTTTGCATATTCCTCGCTCACCAACTTTAATTGGCCAAAACTGTTGGGTTTTACATTCACGGGCCGGACACTACAGGCCCAGTTAAGTGTTCGGTAGTTTCTGTTGTTAAAAACATAGTTGGTGACTATGTTTATAGAAAGATTAATTTTTTTTTTTGAAATTTGGAAAAAAAATATTAATTCTTAAGAATAGAAGAGAGATTGAACCTAGTATGCTATATTTTAACAAACGTTCTTCACAAATATATTGAATCTGATCTGTGTTTATTTTACGTACATAAGAACATTTCAGTTCATCTATAAAACGGAATATAAGTATTCGTTATTTTTTTCTGAAAGTGTACGTATCTCTTACAGATTAGCATCCCGTAATTTTGCAGTCTGCAGGGGCGTAGCCGCGTAGGGACTATATATAAGTAACCCAACATTAATCCAAATTTACCTAAGAGAAGGATTCAAGAAACATTAAAAAAAACTTTACTAGCTATGGTATGCCTAAAATAGGCATCATAAGCCATTGAACATATAATTCTTTTAGTCTTTATTCAAGTTATCAGGCTCGATAGCCATTATTAGTGTACTATCTGCAATGAATAATTTGCAAAAAGAATGTGTTTATCAAATTTATTGTTATTTTAATGCAATTATTAAACTTAGCCATGACAAATAAGATTAGATTATTATATTCATGCGAATAGTTGAATAAAGTTATATCTATTATCACCTTATAATGTTCCTTCTTTGTTAAAGATTTTACATCTATATCCAAAATTAAGAGAGCCGGTTTCATACCTACTTATAGTTTAGTCAATAGTTGTAGCAGGGTTATTTGTTGGTGAATTAGAACAAGTTGTTGACAGCTTAACATGCATTTGATGATTACATGATACGCTAAAAGCAGAGATAGAGCCACGGCAATAGATGGACGTTCAGTTGTATTTTGATTAGCAATTCGTTAATGTACCGCGAGTTCACACGCTCTATCTGCGCGTGTGGCTTGTTCCAACATAGCTCACAATCTAGTCCAGGCCAAAATAAAGGATACGGCCCATCATGGTTCAAGAGTAGTCTTGTCTTGTTTTAACAGAGCGATTATCCAAATTAACAAGCAAATGGAATTAAACCCAAAGTTAAGATTAAAGAATACAAATTCGTTATTTCTCCACGGTAAACAATGTCAAACCAGATATAGTACAATTCATTTTCATCAAGTACACAATCATTTTTAAATTCCAACTGTATGTAATAAAAAGACTTCATTGAAGCTCAAGTGCGCAATAACAAAAGAAAGTGTATTACTTCTTCAATCAAAAACTAAATAACACCAAACAAAGACAGAAGTGCGCAACAAAAAAAATAGTGTCTTAGTCCTTTTTCTTAGCAATGTTGAAGTACCTTGTTTGCTGCAATCAATATTCTTTTTGTTTCAGAAAAAAAGAGAGGAAGTTTTAAGGTCAATTTAACTGTTCGGAAAGGCCCATAACTTCTAATGGGCCAAAGGCCCGTTATGTTCGACTTCTAAATAGATGAATCTGTTTGGTCTTCAGAGTATAGTGGATTTATCGATTGGGATGTGTTTATCAATCGATTACAATAAAATTTTATCATAGGAATATATAAATTTCACGTAACTTCATTTCTGTTATAGATTACTTAAACAAATTATATAGAAAAAAAATTAAACTCAAAAGATGGTAGGAGCCGCGCGAACGCAGGCTCCCTCTGCCACAAATAATGACGCAGGCTCTCCCACTTGGGGAGACCTTAGGCTAAGCACCCCTCCGTTATGTGCAATGGAGGTCACTAGCCTAGGCCACTCATCTTCTTGATCATGAGTTGACCCCGTCCAGGTAAGTGATTTGCTTGTTCCTTGCCCTTCTCTATTTATACTCTACTTCGCGAGTCCTTCCCTTTAAACGTAAGCGATGTGGGACTTTTAGACATCTCTCACTTGCATACTTTAAACGGCAAAATTGTTGGGTTTTACACAAACGGGCCGGACGCTACACAGGCCCATTTAAGTGTTCGGTAGTTTCTCATCGTCAAAACCATAGTTGGTTAATATATTGAATCTGATTTGTGTGTGTGTTTTACGTACATAGCCAGATAAACTTAAGAACAGTTCAGTTCATCTATAAAACGGAATATAAGTATTCGTTATTTTTTTCTGAAAGTGTATGTATCTCTTACAGATTAGCATCCCGTAGGGACTATATAAGTAGCCCAACATTAAATCCAAATTTACCAAAGAGAAGGATTCAAGAAACATTATAAAAAAATTCACTAGCTATGGTATGCCTAGAATAGACATCACAAGCCATGAACATAACTGTTTAGTCTTTATTCAAGTTATCAGGCTTGAGAAATTTAGGGTAACGATCGGTGGATCCAGTTCTGTGATCATAGTACTCCACTGCTGCTGCTCCAGCTAGAGCTGCCAATGTCAGCGCCTGAGCGTGTAGCCTGAATCAAGAAAATGTGGTTGAGAGATGTAATGGTGAAAGAATCCATCATCAACATGCATGGTAAAAGGAAACAATCAACGACAATTTTTTTTTAAACTGAATGTTTATTCGATATATGATATTTCAAGTACAGAACAAGCATATTGGGCAAGGATGGTGTTATATGTAACATATTGATTTGATTGTTGCTACTTGCTAGAATCTACATGGAGGTGATTATGCAATTTTTTTGTCTATATACCATCCCAACCAAGATTAGTGTCTTTTTTATTAGAAAATACACCATCATTAATTATACTTTGATGAAAAGAGAGATTAACAATCAGATTTTACAAGTGGAACAATCTAACTCTGATATCATTTTACCACACCATCTAACAAAGTTATAAACCCCAAAGATTGAAAAGAACAATACGATTAGAAGAGATGTTGTTACCTAGCATGGATGATTCGGACACTGGTTTTCATGCCAGGTTTAGACCAGTTATAGGCGATCGAACCAGAGATACCACTCAGCCATAAACAACCTATCAACAAGACAAAAAAACAAATATTATCAGAACACACACAAAACCGCATAGACAAATAATGTCAGAAAAATATCGGAGCACCGACAATGTCAAGCAAATAGAGAAAAAAAACACAAATCTAGATATTAAAATCAGATGAATACTGCATAACACAGAGATCTATGATATCCCTAAAAAAAATCGATTCGTGTACTCTTATTACGCCAAAACGACTCAGGAGAACATTTTTTGATGAACAGAAGGACCAAAAAAAAAAGAGGAGAATGAATGAATGATTGGATGATTACCAACGGTACGAAGCTTGTGATCAACGATCCATTCTCTGATTTCTGCAAACTTTGTCTTCGATTCCGCCATTTGATGATCCACAACAGAGAAAAATATTCGTTAATGAAAATTTGGTAAGAGAAACAATGTGCGTCTCGTGGCGGTTTTAAAGCAACACAAAGGGCGGACATTTCTGAGGTAAGAGAAAACCAATTTGCTTACTTGCCCTACATTCCCGCATTATTACGGTTATAACAAAAAAAAATTACCAAATATTCTGAAGAAAGAATGTATAGTGGGCACATTTAACCCAAACCGAATTGATTTATATAAGATAATAAACTCACTTTTACTCAAATAAAAATTTAATTTGTTTTAAAAAATACTGTTATTGAATTTGATATTTTATAAATTACTTTTGTAAGCACAATATTTTATAAATGACTATAAGTTCACTATTATTGAAAAACATTTTAAGTTGTGAGATTGTAAAATTTTAAATTATTTTAGAATTTTTGGATATAAATTTTAGTTGGTGTCAAGAAAAAAGATAAATTTTCTTAGTTGAAAAATAAAAAATCTAAATTTCTTGATTTATGTGATCTACCAAGAATAATATTAAACTCTGTAATTTATATAATGTCATTTAAAAATCAAATAGCTTCCAATAATTGAATGCAAACATGAACAGTTTAAGAAATTTTGTAGACCAATAACTCGTGTTTTTGGTATGCTAATGAAAAAACTGTATATCTTTGACCGACTTTGAGACGAGTCAAAAAATGGTTTGGTCAACTCAAGAATCAATCAATTCAAAACCACTCTTCCTTTCAACTACGGCGAAAGCATAATATATTATATTATAATCATATGCGTCATTGTCTTCAGATTAAAAAAAAAAACATTACTTTTGGTGTTTAATGTCACAAACACTAAATCGTTAACATAGACGTTTGTCTTTTTGTTTCAGAAAGAGATAGCTTGCACACGAGTTGAGTTGATAAAAGGATTCTACTTCCCTTATCTAGACGAAGAGAGTGATCGAAAACAGCTAATAGAAAGGAGACACACATGTTTCAGAAAAAAAAAAAAAAAAAAGAAAGGAGACACACAAGACTGTCCTCTTCTACTGGATTTGGAGCATTCCTTCCTTCTCTAGCCAAATGTTGTAATGAGGAAGTTTTTGTATATGCTCATAAACTTGGCCACAAATGCTGCATTGTTAACACCCCAATAACAACATCAATTATACAAATATAAGCAGATAATTTCTTTATTCTTTTTAAGATAAACTATATGAAGAAGTTTTATATACCTTCTATGTGAAATATGGCTTTCTGACCTAATCTCATCCTATGCTCCTGTTAACAAGTTCCCAACAACATAGCTGAATTTCAAAAGAGAACACAGATATTGAAACAATGCTGAGGAGAAATAAAATTCACAAGCTAAGACACAAGTCTAGTATACAACTAATCTTACATAATATGCAGCCCAGTGGCAGACTTCAAGCTTCAGCTCTGAGTCAAGTTTCTTCAGTAATTCATGAAGAAGTCTCTGGAAAAATATAAACTATGTCTAAAAAGGAAAGAGATAGGGACACAAATAAAAAAATTGAAAACAGAATTGGGTTTTGTTTGAAACCTTAAGTATGACTTCTGGTGGAATGCAATTAAGTAGCAACTCATATACCTTCCCACGCACCTGAAACAAACTGAATGAGCAGACAAGATAGACGGTTAAAACAAGGGATGTTTCATCTTGATCTTGTCAAGCTAAATGATTCACTAAAGTATGACCATTTGGGGCTCTGTTCCCTCATCATGTCAGTTGATATCTCAGCGACATACTCTTCCCAGTCCATGGGAGATATCACTTGGTTATCTGTGAACGGATAGCTACGAAAGAAAATACATGTTAAATTAATAACTAAAACAAATCAATCAAATTGTCTGCATATATACAGTTAGTGAAGCTTACTTTTGGACACGACAGGTCTCAAGTGACAAAATAGCTCTTCTAAGACTGCGATTTGATTTTTCGGCAATACGAGCAGCGAAACCGTGAGGAAGTTGCAGACTTTCTTTCTTTGCAACGAACTCCAACACTTTCACTATCTGGAAACAGAGAGCTAAACTTTTGTTAACAATGCATACATGTTTTTTGCAAAAAACCTTTACAAAGGCCACAAACTAAGCAAACACTGAATCTTATGTCATCTTCCTGATAGCAACTACAGATTCTTTAAATAACAGGAACAAACTTGGACATTACAAAAAATGCTACTGACAGTTAGTTCATAGAGGATCAACGATTCAGTGTGCAAAGGTACAAGCCTAAGTGGGAAGTACAAAGTGGGAAGGCATGAATATGTAAGAATAAGTTCGAAATCTCCCACAGGATGGGCATTTTAAAGAGGATTTGGTTGGCTGATTATCTAAGCGAATATTCGACAAAAACAAAGGGAAACAGCTTCTGTACCTCTTCGTGCGAAGGTGCATTGATCCGCACATTGAGACAACGAGACTTAATGGCTTCTGTGACCTTTGAAGAACTGTTACAGCATAAGATGAGACGGCATGATGAGCTATACTTCTCCATTGTTCTCCGAAGAGAATGTTGAGCTTCTCGTGAGAGCTTGTCAACTTCATTTAGTACCAACACTGCCAAAACCAGACAAAACCACAAAAAATTATACCAGTCATCAGAGAGTATCAATATGTGGAAGTAAGTTGAAATAATTGGGCAGGACATGGAGGTAAAACTTAGCCAATAAACAATGTAAGATGCTCGAGATAAATTGATAACCGAGAACATAGAACCATCTAAATGTGTAATGAAGAAATTCAGTTGAACATAAAGCCTTAAATCTACAAACATGAGGCAACCACCTTACTGAGCATGAAAAGGAAAAGGAAAAGGAAAAGGAAAAGGAAAAGGAAAGCTATACTATGAATTATAAATTGTAGATCAAGTCAACCACAGCAGCATATAAATTGAAGATGACATCAAATGCTCTTATAAAAGCCTAACTATTCGTAAGATCTGAGACCAAGATATCCAAAATGTTTCCACTACTGAGTAATAATGTAATGAAATAGTCAGGCGGAACACTAATTCTTACCCTTGTATCCCTTCTTTCCTTTGGTGTCAATAGGTCTATTCTTAGCCATCTCTTTAATGATCTCTTGAACGATGTATCTGTCCTGAAAGCCTGCATCACTTGGAGTAAGTTCCACATGATTTGTGCTTGACAACGTAGTGAGCTCCAGATCAATCGTTCTACTCCCAGCCTGCAGTTTTCAGATTTAACACAACAAAAAGATTAAAAACTTAAAAAATAGGTAAAAAAAGATTCAAGGTATAACATATCATTATAGCAACTACAAAGGACCCCAATACTACAATAGGTTGGCTTAGTATGTTTCATACACTAAAGACTAGAGAACAAAACTGACAATTCTCACAAAAGTTGTTATGTTCTAACGAAGGAGGACCAACAAAAAGTAAAGAATAGCAAACATAATTCACAACTCTCCGTTCACAAGAACAAGAAGATACTGAAACAGTAACACCATTTACTGATCCAACAAGGACACAAAAACAAATATAGAGATATATCAAGCAGAGAGAGCTCTAGAAGTATAAAAGCAATGAAAACAGAAAATAATGTGAAACTCACATCAACTTTCCATGCCCTGTTCTCCACTTTCACCTAACACAACGAAAAAAAAAAGTAGCAATCAGACATCAACCTAAATAGAAAACAAAGAGTTAGTGCTAGTGAGAGACTCACTTAACTACATCCCAACATACCAAACCAAAAGGTTCAAAGTCATCAACTTTTGTTATTACAAAACAAAACCCAGAAAAAAAAACAAAACGAAGTGGAAAAAAGGGATGTATACCTTCTCAGCACTGACACCATAAATCTGCTTAAGAAGCGCCATGATTAGGGTTTTCTTACCAGACCCAGACGGTCCATAGAACAGCAAATGCGGACAATCTTGCTCCGTTACCTACGAATAAAATCAAAATTCAGCTCCCCATCGAAAACCCTAAACCCCAAAAACATTATAAAAAAAATCAAAACTTTGCAGTTAGGGTTTGTACCAGTTTCTTGAGATTTTGGGCGATCTCTTCATGAACGATGACCTTATCTAGCGATTTAGGTCTGTACTTGTCGACCCACAACATTGTTAGCTCAACGCCGGGGGAGTTTGGGGGGGAAAGGTAATTGAGAAGTGGCGGGAAAGAAGTGTGTCGTCTTCTTCTGCTTCCTCGGCGCTCTCAGCAGCTTATGTAGCGAAATCGAACCCCTCTTTTTGGATTAGAGTCTTTTAATAGTACTTGGGAAATTTTTTTTCATTTATACAAACCGGGTCAAATAGATCCGAAATCGCGGGTACTTGCGGATGTATTGGATGGGTAATATAAACCAGCTTGAGTCGTATTTGGTTTGGTTTTTGTTTCTTTTTCCTAAAAATAACTAAATGAATAACCGAACCAAACTAACCAAAATAATCAAATTTAATCAAACTTACTGAGTTAACCGACTATACCGATTTTCTATTTAAAGAAAATTATAACTACAGTATAATTTCTTTAAATTAATAATTTATAAATTAATATCCACTAAAAATTTCTATAAAATAATATAATTTTATAATCCAAAAATAAATTTTTGGTTCAGTTAGTATATCGATAAATTAATAATCTCTATAAATTAATAAAAAAATATAATTTTTGGTGCAATCTCAATATTATTAATTTATAAGAGTTTTAATGTAAAATCTAACCAAAATCGCAAAAATGATTATTTAAAATTAAAAATTGAAATTAACCGACCTTTTTCAGTTTAGATAGGTGGGATTTTATGTGTTAAAAAAAAAAGGTGGGATTGTGATTGAAGCGAACTACCTGCAACAAAAATACCTAACCCGAATTAACCAAATCCGCAGGGCTGATTGTAACTTGTAAGTAACATATCATCCACAAAGGATATTCATTACAAAGAGAGTTATGAGAAGATAACACAGAGTTATTGCGCTTATATATATACCCTAACTATTAGTATCACAGCTAAGAGTTCGGTTTCTTTGTCACGGTCATCTGCTTAGAGTTTCCAATAAATCTTGAACCTGTGGCAAACACCAGTAACCAAACCCCAAAAGAGAATCTCCGCGAAAAGAACATACATTAGGACACCAACTCTTCTTGAATGCCAAACTCGGACAAAAACATGCTCTTTAATCCAATTTATCTTAAACACAATCACCATAACAACAACACTTGTTACCAAACTTTCAACTAGATCATTAAAACAAAAGACTCATTTAAGAACCTTACCAGTGTATTGCTTGGATGGTGATAGTACCAACCGTTGAAAAAACCAGCCAAAATCCCTTCAGCTCCCATCACATACACCAACATTGCATTCATTCCTATCCATTTTAGAGGTAGAAACATGTGCTTCCACTCCAATACATCCACCTGCAAAAACCAGGGAATAAAGAAAGAAACAATGAAGCTGTTTTTTGTTAATGTTTATCAGTGCAGTGGGACAAGAATCACCAGAGAATACAAGGCGGAGAAGACAAGAGCAGCTGCACCGGAGGTTACACATGTGTAGCTGAAAGTATAGAGTTGTTTGTTCAAAGGCATCACTGCAAACATTATCAGTTTGTAATATATGTAAGAGAAGGGAATGTTTTGTGAGTTGGAATTAAAAGCAATGTGTTTGTTTACTCACAATGTGTGAAATGTAGAGTTAGTCCTAGAGAAAGTAGAGCTAGACCTATGGAGATCCAATGTTTCAACCGAGCTGAATGCCCCTGAAAATTTTGGTATAATGTTGAAATAATGATATTAAGAAGTACATAGGAGGATGAGGCTTATGTTTTATAACCTTAAAGTGTAAGATGATATGTCCAAAATGGACTCCGATGATTGTAGAAAGAATAGCAGATATGGAGCTGCATCAGACAAGTTTTTGAGTGTTATAAACTTCTCATTAGAGGATGATGATGATGAGTGATAAGATTAGACCTTAGGATTCCTTCAGGCTCAAACGGAGCATGACACCAGGACGGTGCATCTTGACGCAAAGTTCCCTCGGAAGGGGAATAATCAGTGCAAGCCTAAGTTTCATAAAGAACACATTAGTGGGTTTTGTCCATTGACATGAAACATAGATCATTGGAGTATTGTACCTTGGATCTTCTCCAAGCAGGATGGTGATACATATGATTGATCCCTAGAACTTGTCTATCAACATATCCAACAGCATTGCAAGGAGGGTTTAGCTTCCCTCTCACTCCACATGATACCTATCAACATTAATTTCTTATATCATCTAATCACATACAACACTTAGTTAAGGGTTATAATTACAGACTTACGGATTGGATCTTCCCATAGAGAATGCTATCTTTATCATAGACAACGAACTCCCAATCAGGAACATAAGTTCCATAGAGTGTGGCAAGATAAATCACAAGAACTGATGCACCCACAATCCTGTTAACGTAAAAAAGTAATAAATAATCTGAAACTCTTTACATGAACTTTAATTCTAAAATAATTCAAATGTCAGGTTTACCAATGCCAATAATATGACTTGAATATTGAGAACCTTCCAGTTGAAAGATTCTCCTCATGCGAGTCCTTTGTGAAGATCTCCACCAATGCTACTACCAAGTAGGATAAAGCTATTCTCTACACACAAAAAAACAGACAAACATGAAACCTTTTAAAACTGTGAGTAATATATTTATACACAAGATGAATCTTGAGACTGAGATAAGACCTGGAGAATCCCACAAAACCTCATCCTAGTCACATCAACCCCATAGGCTAATTCATCAGGAGCATGAGAGAAACCACCTACACATCAAGAGAAAAAAAAAGAAACCACCTACACATCAAGAGAAAAAAAAACTCCATCCATTATTTATTAGTGCAGTGTCTTAAAAATTGGTCTAGGCTAATTATTTTTAGTGTAGACATTCAAAAAATGTTGGTTTAATCAGTAATCCCCTATAAAACGCCTAATTACCATCTAGCGATTTCTTTAAACAAACATGAATATTATAATGTTTGAAAGTTACAAGGTTACAAGACAAAGAACATCATTCATTACCTTGTAATAAAAGACCCCAGAAGAGGAGCTTGCATGTCCTAAACCCAACTTTCTTACAAGCATCAAACTTGTTCGAAACCCGCTGAAAAAAATTACACGTATTTTTCAATGTTTTGAGCCATCAGACTACGAAACTGAACAAAAAGAGAGAGGTTTTAAAACCTTGAAGGAAAGAGAGATGGAGACGCCAACGATGAACAAGAAGAAAGGCATGACGAAATCAGCCAAGTTGCAGCCTTCCCAAGGAGCGTGAGCTATCACAGGCCAGTCTCCTCCGGCGTCATCCACGAGGATCATCAACTTTTGTAATTAGAAAAAAATAAAATGTTATAAAGTTTGAAAATTCAGAGGAGTGGAAAGAGAGAGAAGAAAGATACGGCGATAGTGAGGCCACGGAATATGTCTAGAGAAGCAAGTCGTGTCTTTCCGGTGAGGTTTTGAGTGGAAGAAGCTTCTTCGTGTACGAGGAGGCGTTGATCGTGACTCATATCCGCCACCACTTTGATTTCCGACATCACTATAACTCTCTCTGTACTTAACTGTCTTATCGAAACATACATCACTGGTTTTGTAAGAAAAAAAAGATTCTTTTATAGATAATAGACTAGGTGTTGACCCGCGCAGGGCGCGGAGTGAGATTATTTTGACTTTGATCGAACAATAATTTGGTATATTAATTTGTTTAACTAAAAATAGGTAGTGGATGTGAATAAGTAATAAAAATCATATAGTCATATAATGAGATATTAGTATAGCTGCGAAACGAAGCATTGATTCATACAAATTTGTTTTCACTGTTTGTCTTATATATCTGTTTGTCTTATAGATACANTACTTCTTCCTCAATGCATGGAGTTCTGGAACATCATCTGGTTCAAAAATGATTTTTGAAAAGCCATCGATGTTTGAGATATTCTTCAATTTTCCTTATCATTATTAAACAAAAAAAAATTATTAGCTATTTTCTAATGTGATATAAAATTAAATAGACTATTTATTTAAAATTATAAAAATATATTACCTGCTCCCCAGTTAATTTGCCAGAATTGTAAAACACACAGTACAACATTCTCGTTAATTGAATTCCATATGGTGTGAAAACATGAGCAAGTGCTCCATATGCAACACACTTAACGACAACATTACTGTGATCAATGTATAATAAAATATTTCAGAAAATATCAATATACTAAGTAAATCATTTTGTTCAAAATGTAGAAAACTTACTCCATGTTTAGTACAAAAAAACGTATTTTATGGTCGATGAAACCATTGTTTGACTGAGTAGATTCCGTCATATATTCTTCAAGAAATCTTACTCCAACTATAGCTCCATAAACATCTGCGTGATATTTTATCAAAGTATTACCAATATATAACTAATCAATAAATATTAACATAATAATCTTCATTATAAAATTCAAGAGGACTATAATATTAGATAGTAAAGAACAAATACCAATAGAAAATTTAGGATGGACTAAGCCACGATAGAGATCGTCAAAGTCTGGAAAAGAATAATAGTTCGCCATGGGAAAATTATCGATCTTGGAAATGCATGATGATCTATCGAGGTTAATGTGATGAGGGTTCTTTGACAACCGAAGACGCTCTGTTGCAGGAGTTAGAGTGAAAGATGTTTATGCTCAATGTGATCTCGAGAATGTGTTAATTGTTTAGCTTCTCCGATGGTAAATATAACAAAAGTGTCACGATATGCAATAAATATTAGATTTATGTGTGTTATCATCGATGTCGATATTTAAAGAACATTTCCTAAATTACGGTTTGACTTTCTATATAAATCTGATATATCTTTAAGTTTACAGATTCTGCAATCATACGGCATTTATTATATAATCATTTACTGCAATTCGAATATATAATCGAATGGTATTAATAGTTTTCTGTTAATTGTCTACCAATCATATATTGACTTCCTTAAAATACTTCATAATTAATATAATCTTAACTAAGTGATCAGTTATAAATGCTAATATATTATCCAATGCAACATGCCGTAGCAAGAAAAAGGTAAGAGCAAGAATCATTAATATTGTACTTTACTTATTTTTTTTTAACTTTGGTATTAAATAAGTTAATTGCCGAAGTAGTCTACTTCGTGAGTATCTTAACATTGATGGCAGAATTTGGTTGAGATGTAATAAACTCAGCCAAGCAAGACATATTCGACATTATTGGAATTCTGAAAAATACACTTAGTGTTCCTAACATATTTTACAAAACAATTATATGATAAAAAATCTATTTAACAGCAATTTCCAAAGTTGATCATATATAAGGAACAATCCTTTTTATCTTTATATACGACATATAGTCATCGCAGGCACTAAATAATATGATATGCTATATGAATATTAGTTAAATAAAGTAGTAATGATAAAAATCGGTGGTTGATTTTTCTTACTATATCTATTTATAAATATAAATTACAATAAATATAAGATATACTGGTTTGGAAAAGGAATAAAGATCTAACTAATTGATATTGGTATTCAATATATTGTGTTGGTTTTTGATAGAAGAAAAAACATATAAATGACATAATAGAAAAAAATGTTTAAATAGCATTTACATTTGCGATTTGCGCTTGTCTATCAAGGAAATTCCAATTTATGGCTATCTCATTTAATTCAGAATATTATNAGCTGATTGACATTAAAATGGAAAGAAACCATTAAACCGTTTACCTAATAAAAACATTCCGAGATTTAGTTGCTAAAATTACGTGACTGAAATATATTCATTCAATATTAGAAATATGTATGCAGATTCGGTCATTAATTTTAGTTGACATTCGACGATGTATGAAATATATTCATTCAATTTTCGAATACAATAACATTAATTGCTAGCGCATATAAGGGAAACTGAAATACGCATGCAGATTCAGTCATTAATTTTATTTTGAAGTTTAAGATAATAATATTTTGTACTAATACTACAAATGCATATAAAATATAAAATATAAAGTTCGATTTTATAAAATATAAAATATTAAATTTTCTGATGAGACTCTCTTATATTGTCGAAATATAAAATATAAAGTTCGATTTTATAAAATATAAAATATTAAATTTAAAATTTAAATATATGCCCAATAGACAATAAGGAATTATGAAATAAGGTCGCATTTTTTTCAATTCATTTTTATTTATACTTATGTAACGAAATAAATTTTTTTCCTATTTTTATTTAAATCGTACAATAACATGTACCAAAATCATTCTATATGCATGTTTTACATTTACAATATTTACATGGAGAATGATATACATAAAATACATAAAATATAGCGTACATGTAACAAAATCATTATAGCCGAGTAGATAAACATGTAGTCCGCCTTCTATATGCATGTCTTTATTGTTATATCATATATCATCATATATCATATATGTATATTTATATCAATGGCATATTGTGTAATTACTCTAGTTAACTAAGGTCTTTTAGCTAAAAGGTGTGAGAAGGCTTGTGGAGTTGACACGTAGGAAATGGCATGCATGTAATAAACACATGAAGTAAAGGTTTATTTGCAAAAGTTCTCCTCAAATAATAAGAAGGGGATATCATTGTTTTTGTAACCAAATCAAACGATTCTTCACTAGTCAAACACATTACACACAAGCCATTTGGTTTTCGATTCGGTTTTAGTTTTTAATTTTTCGGTTCTAGAAATTTAGGAACGATTCGGTTGTTTACAAAATTTGTTCGGTCCTAGTTCGATTATTTTGATTTTCGATTTGGTTCGGGTAAAAAAAGTTAGAAATCAAATAATATCGAAAATCAATTTTTTTGAATTCAATTTCGGGTGTTTAAATGATTTTGAATAACATGGACAAATGTCGGATAATTCAAAATTTAAAAGTTAAATATCGGATCACTAAAGTTATTAGAATAAAATGCCAGATAATCCAAATAATTTAAAATATTCAAGTGAAAATATTAAAATAATTTGATTTTTAAAATAGTATTTTGGGATATTTATTTATTTAAAATTAAATATAATTGATCATTTCAGCTAATTAATATGTATTTTTAAAATTACATCTCGATTTGGTTTTGGTTTTTTGGTTCTAAAGATAGGGTATGTGTGGTGATTTACGAAATTTGATTCAGTTTCAGTTTGGTAAGGTTATTTGGTTTCAGATAAATGTACTGAGACCTATCAATAACAGTCACGCGTACGTATACAATCAAACTAGTGCAGCAGAGGCGACGGTGCCAGCTAAAAACAGATATAGTCTTATATATAAGTCGTTGCATCAACCACGTCCACGACCTGCTCCTGTTTTGACAACATATTATAAGTTTGTAGCAGAATCAAAGCTATTTGATATAATCTAGTATGTTCATCCAAGCATCACAATTTACTAAATGCGCATTGTAGGTCTCTCCGTTCTCGAGCTCCGCAAGCGACCACAACCATTCAATTATCAAAAAGGTGTTAACTTCAACAAAAAAAAAACAGAAGTTCGTTTGTATGCAACTTTCACAATGCAAAAACGTATAGACTCTCTCCTCAACATATTTTACAAAACAAATAAAGAACAGCTCTCCGTTCTTAGGCTCCACAAGCTACCACAACAACTCAATCATCAAATTATTTACTCCCTCCGTAACCCATGACTTTAGAATTTTTATAATTTCAATAATACTTATGTTTATATAACTTAACGATGGTAAGCAATCAACAATTCCGATGTCGTCCAGCGGTTAGGATATCTGGCTTTCACCCAGGAGACCCGGGTTCGATTCCCGGCATCGGAGCTTTTTATTTTAATTTTTATTATCGCATCTACTCAACCCTACCTGATTCAGTAACATGGGCCTTAGTAGGCCAAAAGTATATGATTTTATCCTAGGCCCATTAAAAACTTAGGGTTTTTTAGCAAAGTATAAACTCTGCAGTCTTTCTCCGTCTCGTCTCTTCTCTTCCGTTGCCGCACTTGCTTTCGCTTCTCCTCCTCAGGTAATCTCTCCACACATTCGTCGTTTCTTCTCCGTGTCTGTTTATTCCTACGCCAACTATGTCACCGTTTACCACCTAATTAGCTGTGAAGAACTATGGATATGGTTCTTTCTCTTTAGAACACTTTAGGATCTGTAGAGTTTGTAGTAGTTTTGGTGAATCCTAGAGATCTCTCTCTTACTATAGATTCCATAAGATGTTCGGTTACGTATGTTTTGTTACCTCACTAAGTTTTATTAGCCAGAAGATTGGTTTTGTGCTGTGTTCTTTTTTTAATCTCTTTGTACTAATCAAACATAATTGTTTTGTGTTCTGTTTTTTTTAATAGTTGTTTGGATTTACATTTTAAGCTAATCTTCAAGATGCAAAACGAAGAGGGTCAAGTCACAGAGTTATACATTCCTAGGAAATGGTAATACAACATTTTCTTCTCTAAACTGATTTTCTAATTGATTATTTGTATTTTTCATCTCTAAAAGACAATTTTTTACTACATACTGTGCAGCTCTGCTACTAACCGGATGATCACATCGAAGGATCATGCCTCTGTGCAGCTCAACATTGGTCATTTAGATGCTGATGGTGTCTACACCGGACAGTTCACAACCTTGGCGCTTTGCGGCTTCGTTCGTGCCCAGGTCTGTGTACACTCTTGATTCTTTTTTTTCTCAATTTGTCTGGGTTAGCATTTTGTTAGTAATATTTTGAATTATTTTTCATCAGCTTTACTAATTTTATTGAACCAATTGATCTATATGTTGCAGGGAGATGCTGACAGTGGTGTTGACAGGCTATGGCAGAAGAAGAAGGTTGAAGCTAAGCAAGTCTAAGATGTTTTGTCTTTAGTTATTTTGTTTCTACTTAATTTTAAAGATCATTAAGACATAAACTGGAGTAATGTTTTTTTTTGCTTAAACTCTTTGTTTTAATGCTATTGGTGATGATGCATTTGCTTTGCTTCTCATTTATCTGATTCAGTTTGCGGAATTTTTCTCATTAATAAGTCTTTATAACTTATAAAGCTGCAAATAATCTCAGTGTGTTTAGATTTTTAGACGCTAACCAAGCTAACGTAAAAATGGGTTTGATAAATATTAGAATCAGATTCCTCTCATCCTTGGTGGGGTTCTCTTGCAACCATGGGTGAATTAAAGAATAACTGAAATGGTTTACGTTTGTGGTTATGTAGTTTACGAGTTTTGATTCCATACGTTTTAATGACTGCTTTTTCTTATATGGAAAAGTACAATAGTTATTTTGTATTAATCAAGTAAAAGACCAATCCAACAATACGATTCCCTACGGACAATATTACATAATATTCGTCGTCATCAAGATATGCGCATCTCAAAAGCCATCCATTCACTTCAAATTTATCTCACTTTCCCTATTATTCTGATTCCTTTCTTTTGCAAAAAAGACTTATTCTTCTCAAAGTCTAATTATTCTCCTTCATTTATTCTAAATTTTGCACCCCAAAATACAAAATGGCATATTCCAAAATAGTACCTCACGAATTGTATAAAATATTCTGGCATTTTATATAGAATAAGATATCTACTAAAATACAAAATATACATGTTCAAATTTCATTGCGGTAAATCACTTATTCAAGAAATATATATCTGATTTAATTTAATTTTACTATGAAGATTGTTATTAGTGATTGTTTATGAAAATACCACTCTTAGTAACAAACTCATTCACCATTATATAATTTGATTCTAAAAACTTCCTTAACCAATCACATGACGCAACAAGCGTTTGGATTGCCTTCACTCAATGCCTCAAACGATTCGGACGGCTGAGATCTATACGAATAAAATTCGGGCGGTGGAGATTCGTATCCCGTGTCCACGTACTCATAAGAATAATACGACGGAGGAGCCTGGTAATACGACGCCGCATTATCATTCCCATCAGTACCCGGCCCATTTTGACTCGGCCCATGCGCCGTGTTGTAACTCACCGTGTAAGACGGCGCCGTTTGAGGCTGCGAGTGATAGTAAGTTGGAGGAGGAGGACCGTACGTTTGGTGTTGGTAATGACGTGGAGGACTGTGAGCCGTCGGATACATATTATTATGCTGCTGATGCTGATGATGAGGAGGAGGATGGTACTGATCCGGTGGAGCTGAGTATATCACAGTCTCTGGTGGTGGTCCATTACTCTGCGGCGGAGGACAACCACCACCACCGCCTCCTCCTCCTCCTCCTTCCATCACCACCGTCGTGCTCTTCTTCTTCTTTTTCTTTTTCTTCTTCTTCTTAGGAGCTCCATCTCCTCCTGGTTGTTGAGGTTGTCCGTTTACAAACGTCACAACTTGTTTCACCTGATCACCCGGAGGAGGCCCTCCAATGCATGTGCCGCCGTCAATCATCCCACCACCACCACCACCGCCGTTGTTGTTGTCGTCTTCATCATCTTCACTGCTGTCTTCATCTTCGTTTTTAGGTTTCTTTGGTTTCTTCTCTCTCATCATAAAGTTACCATCATTGTTGTTGTCCATTGACGTGGGCCATAGCTCGGCGTGTCTACCGGCTTTCATGATCTTCTTTATCAGAAGCTCTGGCTCCACGTTTCCGACCACCGTTACTTTTTGTTGCTTCACGTCGATGTTCAGTGTGTATACACCTAACAGAAGAAAAAACGTTTCTTAAAACGTTTATGAAGAAACAAAGAAACACAACATGAAGATATATATTAATGTCTTTTTTTTGGTCAAATATATATTATATATTAATGTCTTACCTTCGATCTTTCTCAATAGTTTCTCTATTTTTCTTTTGCATCCTTCGCAATGGATAGAAACTCTCAAAACCCATGTCTTGCAACAACAACAAAAACAACAAGTAAGAAGATTATATTTTAAAGAAATTAAAAGAGTTGTATAAAGAAGATTATATATGTGGTGAATTTGATCTTACGGTGTATCTAAGAGGTTCTTGGTATTCTTGAAAAACATGTCGCTGATCTTCTTGGCACGGCTCTGGTTTGATCTCTGTTCCGATGTCATTCCCGATTTGTGTTCCTATAGTTGTTCCAAGGTCCATTGGAGAGAGAGATTAGAACGAAGCAGAGGGAAAGTGGTATTATGCAACTTCATGTGTAATATAGAACACATAATGTTGGCTTCTATATCTTTTCGAGAGTCCTCCTAGATAATATTCTCCACTATCCTTTATTTTATTCTAATAAAATACTTATTTATTCATATATAATATTTTCTTTCATTTTCGTCTTTCTAATAACATATTAACGTATGCAAATTAATCAGTAATTTTTTTGGTCTCACAAATAGGGAATGTTCAATCCGATAAAACCAAATCAATTAAAACCAAATTGAACCAAAATAGAGAAATTGATTTTAATTTAATAATACCAAATAAGCTAAATGAATATAATTTTTAAAATAGCGGTTTACAGATATGTTTCGGTATGTATACTGATCAACTCATATATATTAGTATTTTTATATGTAAGTTTTAACATATAATTAATAATATATCCATAATTTATTTATTAATATGATATTCATATTTAAAAAACATAGTTTCTTTAATTTTTTATTATATACTAGGTTAATAATGTTATTTTTCATCAAATTAGACAATATATTTTTATTGATAAATACTTGTGCTAAAATATAATTGTTTAACAATATTATAATTAGTATTTTTTTATTTTTTATTTAATAGTTAAACAAAACAAAAAATATTTTATTTAAAAGTTAGAGTACATAATATATATGTGATAAATCACATTTCTAATAATATAAACCAAAATTTATTATAAAAATAAACATAATTATAATTTTTGGTATAAAACCGAATAAATAAAAAATCGTTTGTATATTAACCTGACCAAAACCAAAGTAGTTAGGTAACTAACTTTTATAAATCGAAATACGAAATATCGAATACCCCTCCAAACAAGAAGAGCCTTCTGCATTTTTCCCTATGTTGCATGGAAACTCTGTTCAAGGTTCGTTTCCTGTTTCGTAAACGTTTCGGCATCGGAATTTCTTGAAAATTCGAGGAAACTCTTTGAAAACACGTTTCTTGAAAATTTTATTTTGGAAACACGCTGGAAACTTGCGTTTCTGATTTGGAAACTCACGTTTCTAATTCGGAAACTCGCGATCCTAATTAGAAACGCAAAAATAACTATTTGGCATTTGATGTTAGTGATTTTACATGTTTATTATCATATACTTTGATATTTGTTATCATTTTAATATAATGATTTGATTTAAACGAAGTCGCTCCATAGTTTTATCAAACAATAACATGTGTTACTTTTTAATAATTGATTATAATTTTAATAAATGTACCAAAAATACTTATATTAATTTTTTTCAGATAAATCAAACAAAAAAATTAAGTTTACATGTTGATTAATCATACATATATATATTATAGACGTTTTTAAAACGTTTACATTTCTATTTTTTTTTTGAAAATCACGTTTTCACATCGAAACATTTCGTTTCCAGGTATCTTTTCCGATTCCATACAACCTAGATTTTTCCTCGTGAATGAAAATTGTCAACCTTTGGTAGCATGGTATCAACGGCTGAGATTACTCGAGAGTTTTATAGCATCATTCCTTTGCGACTGGCACGTGTAGTATAACCAAATACGTCGACAACAAAACCATTCATATCATCATCATCATGTAAAAGTGCCTATCAAAGTCAAACCAATCTGAACCGAGAACTTCTCACTAACACCCGGATCACCACCGTGGCACTAACATAATTATATATATATACATACATACACATCTGCTGTGTCCTCATCTTAAACAAATAGTACTCTTTACTTTTTCATTGAATTGAAAAAAAAAAAAAAACTGATGGATTCCCAAGCAGCATCAAAGAAGCCAGCGAACGATGAGGAGCTTGAGAAGTTTTTACACGGAGTGACTATTGCTAGCGTTGATGTGCTTCCGAATATTAACACGGTTCTGCTTCCTAAGGGAGCTGATGGTTCGTCGTCTCAGACCGAGAAGGATTCACCGGCTGAAAAGTCTCCCAAGAAGGCGGCTTGAAAAACGTGTTTCGGTTACATCTTGTTTTTTTTTAAGGGCTGTTGTTAATCTGGTTGAATCCAGTTGAAGATTATGTTTTAAGACATTTGTAATGAATGGACTGATTTCCGGGTAGCTTTCTCGGTTTATGTTGTATTAAATAAATAATAATCTCTTTCTACATCTCATCCTTGTTATCCAAGTACAAAAAGCTTTCTCTCTATCTTCTCTGTTCTCTCACATCGATCTTTCAAAGAGCAAGAGATGAGACAAGCTGTATATGTACGATATTCTGATCTTTTTTGTGTTTTCAATCAAAACTTGATCTGTTCTTCATGTTTATTTCTCTATCGTCAGTTTTGGTTGATTTGAATAGCCAACCTTTCGCTGCTCTTCATCTAGATCGCGGTGGCTTTTGATCGGATATCGGTTTCGTCGTGTCAACTAAGCTTTTTATTCATAGAGAATCAGTCTTTACCCTATAAAATAAGTCACTAGTGGCGTTAAAAGAAAGTGAAGTTTGATGGATTTATTAAACCATCTTCTCCACTGGCTACCTATTTTTTCTTCTATAATTTACACATAAATAGAATAATTCTATTATAAAATAATTTTTACTCCAATGGTTTACTCTATAATAGAGTTACAATACTCTATTATAATATGAAATATAAAATAGTGTCATTTTTTCACTCCAAATATAAAATGAAAAAGTGATATTATTCTATTTTATACTATATAATAGAATGATTCTATTATAAAGTAGACAACTGAAGCAAAATCTACTCAATAAAAAAGTTATTCTACTTTAGTGCAAATAATAGAAGAAAAATAAGTCTAGAAATGGTCTTACATCACATAATATTGGCTTCTATATTTCTTTTTGAAAGTCCTCGTAGATAATATGCCCACTATCTTTTATTATATTCTAATAAAATACTATATTTATTCACAAATGTTTTTAGAGTTTATACTAACATATTAACTTCTGTAATTTTTCTTGTTATTAATTAACCTTATGGAGCCTTCTATATTTTTCATCATGAATTAAAATTGTCAACCTTTGCTGACATGGTATCAAGTATCAAGTTAAGAGTTGTCTAACCACGACGTGATGGTAATGTTGTATGGGGATTTAAAATTGTTAAGTTAAATAATTGAGATTTGAAGATAGAATTTTTTTTTATATTGTGGGACACATTTCCACTTTTTTATTGTACCTTAGGCAGGGCCGTGCCTGACATATGTAGACCCTGAAGTAACTAAACTTTTTGGCCCTACAACAACTTTTAAAAAAAAAATCAATTGCAAAATCTGCTGCCAGTGACTTTCGAACCTGGCAACACAAGTTGTTTATTGACCAATTTTTTACCATCTGAACTAACGGACATTCAATATAATTGGCCCTAAATGATTTTAAGAATATTGGCCCCCAAACTAATGTTTGATGAGCTTGTGCTGAGGCACGGCCCTGACCTTAGGATATAAATTGCTGGTGATACATTTCTAGACAGAGAAAATATATTATTGACCTTAAATTAAATGAAACGTAACGGTACCTTCCCAATTACAATTCAACTAAATCCTTATTCCTCTAATAATTCAGATTTTTTCCTAATTTTCTTCTCCACAGCATACAAAATCTAGAGTTTTCACAAATTCAGAGACATCATAATTCTGGTTTTTTTTACGAGTGCTCTGGTGCCAGAACCTTTCTTTTTGTTTCTCATTTTTCTTTTGCCCTTCTTTATTTCTCTACTCACATGTCCAGATCCTGATGTCCTTGAATCTGATTCTGACTGGTTCTAGTAAGGATCCCATCTTGACCAAACCATAGATCCAGTGAAAAATATGAGGCTTAGAGGTAGAGAACGTGAGGATGGATCGGCTGTGGCTGTGGTTGCGATTTTTCTCTCAGATCTGTTTTTCAAAAAGGTCCATGTAATCGGAAAAGCATGTTGCCATGGATCTAGTCGGAGAACACAACTAGCTCGTGGTGTGTCGCTGTCATTGGAGCTCTGCTGCAAAATCCCCTCCTTTCTCTTGAGTGGAGAATATCATGATCTCTATCTCTTTGATGGTGTTTCTGGTCTGTATTTGGAAAAGTTTGTTTGCTGTGAAAATTCTTCTCCTTACGTATTCAGAAACGTGAGAAAAAAAAATCACACATTCAAGAGAAAGAAGAAGAATTAGAATCATGAACAAAGGTAGATGAGCTATGGACATGGGCTGATTCGATGTGGATGGTAGAAATAAAATAAGTTCAATATAAAATACAATTCACACATATGTTACTATGTAATGTTGGGTTTTGTAAAATAAAAGTCTTTCACGATTTTATTTCCTTTAATAGTATGGAGTTTGCTTTTCATCATATTTTCCAGCTGAAATCTAATTTTCTATTAGATCTTTGTTGATTTTGGATTGCGTTTGAGTAGTGTGATTGTTCTTATAATTATTTTATTTTAGTCTTGTAAATATATCTTTTGTCTACAACTCTTTTATGAGATATATGTGTGTCCACAAATTATCTGTCTATGTCCACATATATCTTCATCTTGTTTAAATCTCTTTCATCAAGATTTTTGTAACATTTTTGGTTCTTGTAATAACACTGTAATTGGTGTATCTTCTTTTTTCAATCCTAAGCAATTATATATATATATATGTCACTATGTCCATTCAGTTTCAATTCATGTATTTCTCATCCACAGCCAGTCCATCCATAATGCATTTGTACAGAGCTTGTTCGTTCAAATAGCAACGTAAAATGTACACGATATATTCTCTACATATATAACACAATTTTAAATTTTGTAAAAAATTAAAATTAAAATAAATATATACACGTGGATCTCAAAACATAGAAGAAGAAAATTTACAGTTTGTTATATCAAATTCCGTTTCACAAACCAATCTCGTTTTTCTCAAGGACTCTTTTGACAAACCATCCCATAGAACCCACACAAAAATGTGCTACAGTAGAATGTGTCTCTAGGTGTAAGAAAAAGACAAAATATGTCTAAATATGTAATCAACTCTTGAAGATATATTACTACATTTCATCTTGTGGTCACTTAAATATTTTATATTTAATTTATATATTCGAAGTGAGAGTTCATTCATAAGCCACATCATCGATTTGAGGAGTAGTCTGGATTTTTCCATCAGTCACCCGAAAGTTATAAAACTAGTTAAATGTGGGGTAGGGGTGGACGTTCGCGTTCAGATATCTATACATGTTCAGTTTGGACTTATTCGATTTTAAGTTTTTGGGGTTAAAAATTTTAGTCTAATTCAGGTATTTATAAATTTTGGTTCGAGTTTCGGTTCAGCGTTTACGGGTTCGGTTTAAGTTTGGATAACCTGTTTAACTATTTTAAAATTTTATATGCTTTAATTTTTCAAAACTGAAAATTAAAATGATTTATAACATGTGAATTTGAGTAATGTATGCCACTTAACATAAATTTGGTTTGGTTTGAATATTTGGATAGAGAATCAATAGATTTTTTAAGTATTGAGGTATTTTCAGTAATGTTATGTTACTTTAAATATTTACTTTAGACTATTTGTACATAAAATTTATTTAGAAAACCTAAAAATACCTTATATATTTTTGATACATTTTTAGAAACTAAATCTAAAAATAACTAATATATTTTGGTTCAGATCGGATTTGGTTATGTCACCAAAATCTTGAATCCATGCGGATATTATACTAATTTCAGTTTGGGTTCGGTGCTAGTGTGTCGGATCGGATTCGGTTCAGTTTTTCAAATTCAGATTTTTTCTAAGGCCTAACATGGGGGATAAATTCAACGGCTGAGATTACTTGAGTTGTTTTATCCTCTGCGTGCTCCCACGTGTAGTAACTAAATATGTCAACTATCATATAAAACTATCTCTTGGATCAAAACAAATTGGAGAGCACCCCTATCAAAGGTTTAGATGGGAGTTTCACACGTTTTTCAACATAAAGAAAATATTAAAATAATCAAACCTTATGATACCCTCTCTCCTAAAGTTCTCTCTAGTGAATCCCTCTCTCTCATAATTCATCACTATAGTGTGGGCCCCACAACATGTAACGGTTTACAATTTGTCTATTCTTTTAAAAAAAAAAAATCAAAAAAAAAATTTAATAATAAAAAAAGAAAATGATGAACCCCAAAACTCAAAAAGAGTTCGTTGATGGGATGCTCTGAACCGGTAACCTCCACTAACACTGGAATCGCCACCGTGGCATTAAGATGATTATATACACACACACACGCACGTTCTCATGTCCTAATCTTACAACAAATAGTACTACTCTTTTTACTCTCTTTAGTTCCGTTTGTCAAAAAAATCAAAAACCCGATGGAGTCACAAGCAGCAGGAACAACCAAACCAGCTCGAGGCGGAAGAAGAGGAGGATACCGCAAGAAAAGCGTCTCCAAATCCATCAAATCCGGTCTCCAGTTCCCCGTCGGTCGCATCTCCCGTTACTTAAAAAAAGGTCGTTACGCTATCAGATACGGCGCCGGCGCTCCCGTTTACCTCGCCGCCGTTCTCGAATACCTCGCCGCAGAGGTCAATAGTCTCATTAGATAAGGTTTCTGATTAGAATCTATAACGAATCTTTTTTTTTTTTTTTATCTTTATTTAGGTTCTTGAGTTAGCGGGAAACGCGTCGAGGGATAACAAGAAGAATAGGATAAACCCGAGGCATCTTTGTTTGGCGATAAGGAACGATGAGGAGCTTGGGAAGTTGTTGCACGGTGTGACTATTGCGAGTGGTGGTGTGCTTCCGAATATTAACCCGGTTCTGCTTTCTAAGAGAAGTGCTGGTTCTTCGTCTCAATGTGAGAAAGCTTCACCAGCTAAAAAGTCTCCCAAGAAGGCGGCTTGAAACGGTGTCGTTTTCTGGTTGTGTCGACTGTCGATCTAGAAGAAGGAAGAGGAACTTCTTGTTTTTTTTTTTGGGTTTAGGGTTTTTGTTAATCTGGTTGAATCCAGTTGAAGATTATGTTTTTAAGACATCTGTAATAATGAACTAATTTCTGGGTAGTTACTCAGTTTCGGTCGTATTTCATTTTTTTCATCCGCTTGATTTCACAAAAAGATGAAAACTTGAGAAATTTGACCAAAAAACAATGTTTAGGACAAAATCAGTAGCATTAATCAAAGTAGTTTGTAAATCACTGCTAGACTTTTTAGCTGAGAGTAAATGTTTTTTTTTTCTGTTCTTTAGCAAAATAAGTGTTAGCTGAGAGGCCCATTAAAGGCCCATCGAATTTGATTGTGAGCGTGCGATGTACTACTTTGATTTTGCTTGCCTTGGTTTCCTTTTTTGAAATTTATGCGATTTGCTTCCCTCTTTAACAGTGGTGGTAAATGAACCTCTGTTCATGTCATTTAGGACAGAAGTCCTTACAAATGGTTTCGTTTTATATAATGTTAATTAAAGTCTATATGTTGATTGGTAAATAAAGTTTTAAAGATTTTAACGCTGGACCAAAATCTTAAATTATATCATCATATAATAATTATTTTTATTAGATTAATTAGCTACAATATATATGATATTGATAAATAATCTGCAAAACATTACATTCTTCAAAATTAAACACCAGATTTCGTGTAAGAACTTTTAATTTCATTAACGAGTAGGCTAGATTTCTTCATAAGAAGTTAACTTCTCATATAGTAATCAAACCGGCCTTTCCTATTTTTATCTTTGCGTAATAAAGTACCTTACAACTGAAACTCTGGCACCAAAGCGAACCTGGTCGAGTTGGTTGTGATTATGTCATATCCACTTCGGCTCCAGAGTTCAATACTTTGGTACAACTCTCTCTCTCTCTCTCAATCTCAATTTGTTTCTTTGGACCATCTTGACGGCGCCTTGTTGTCAAAAAAAAAACTGAGGTAATAATAATTACCTTTTTGGAAAGATTAATAAAAGAAAGTTAGGTTATTGTTTTTATCAACATTATCATTGTGCATGGGCCTTCAGAGGAGACAAACATATTGTACTGTTTTTGGTTTGTTTCAATCTGATTCTGCCCAAGGGGCGGGCCTAATATAACACAAAGTGTAATCAATAGCATAAACCTTAGGAAAAATTAAACTCGAAAACTGAAACAAGGAGAGAAATAGAGTATCCATTTTGAATGGTAATACATGATTGAAATAATAAAGTTGAGAACATCCTACACAGCCCAATATATCAGAACACTGGCCCAAAGTTAGGACACTGATCACTCATTCTTTTAAGCTTAAGTTAAAAATTATCAACAGTTCTGGTACCAAATCGAACCTGGTCCAGTTGGTTGGGGCTATGTCCTTCCCACTTGTGTACCAGAGTTCGAAACATGTTTGGTACTTTACCTCTCTTTCTCTCTCTCTCTCTTTGTTTCCGTGGATCGAAACTTGACGCGCTGTTTACAAAAAGCAAGGTAATAATAATTACCTTTTTTTGAATATTAATAAAAGATATTTCAAGTAGAAAAATTAATACAATTAGACGACTCAGAGCATTTAAACTAATCAAATTTACTTTCAGCAACAACCAACTCTGACAAAATTTCTGTATGACGTTTATCACTTTTTTTTTTCCTTTTCCAAAAGGTAAATACTGATATAGAAGATGAGATTAGGTAATAAAAAAAGATCGAACAAACTTAGTGGGGGAATCATGTTTTTGGCGGAGGAGTTCCAGCAAGCCAGCCCCAGACCCCACCAGAGCTTTGCCTTTGGCCATTCATATTGGCGGCAGCTTGTTCAGACGCAACCGCCCTTTGACGGTGGAGGAGTTCGAGTTCCTTTTCAAGTGTTTCCATCGTCTGAAGCTTTTGTCTTACCTCTGCAACTTCAACCTAAAGGGCACTTAGACAGGTTCAAAAGGGAATGAAAATTAATATTTTTGGTAAAAGAATCTAATTACCTCTAGTTTGAAACACCTTGACTGTTCCACTGCAAGTTGACTCCGCACAGAGTGAAGTTCCTATACATCAAATACAAAAAAAATGTTGATATGACAAAACAATCTCTACTCTCAAACTCATGTGTCTTGCTTCCAGATAGTACAATGCTAGACTGAATAAAAGAACTAATCTGAAGGCAATAGTATTATTATTATTTATTGACCTTGTATAACTCTGCGCCTCGTGTTTCTGTCTCTGTTAACTCTTCCTTCAGTTGCAGAGTTTGTATCTTCTCCTTGCTGAGTGATGCCTCTAGTTCTTCCTTCTCGGATCTAAGGGATGTGATGATGCTCTCGCTTTTTCCTTCAACCTGTGGATTTAATGTGATTTATCTTTAGTCTATTTTGTTAATCACACAGTTTTAAGGAGAGAAGGTACCTTTGATCTAACATTATCCATGAGAATTTCTCGTACTTTGCTTTCTTGGCTCACACCGATCTCAGACTCAATATCTCTGGTGGTGGCGTTATTAACAGCAGAAACACTATCACGCACAGGAGAAGCTTCCATGATCTTTGATTTCAAGCTTGATTTGTGGCTTGGTTTAAGAACATTCACCTGTGATTTGGCAAAATAACAGAGTTAACAAAGAGTTGAAAAAAAAACAAATGAGGACAAAAATGTATTTATGTACTTCGTTGTTGTAACGTCCATTGTATCCACCAAAAGCAACGATGACGTCTTCACCATTGTATGAGCTCACAACTAAACTCAGTCCCTGTTATCAAAGTAACATTTTGCAGCTCAACTTTGGAAGGGATTTACTCAAGTTTAATGAATAATGACTTAAAACTACCTCACTAGCGAGAGGTACACCTCCTTGGACTGATGTGAGTACTGACCACGCAAGAGTTGACATATTTAATACAACAGTCTCACATGCACCTGCGGTAAAAGTATCATCAAGCAACACAATTAATCACACTAGAAAGTTATTTTCTTTTTCCGGAAAGGTTCGAGTGATGTCACATAAAGAGCAACACAAGCTTGTCGGGAAGATAACGAGTGTTTCTAAGGGAAAAGTGCAAAACATACCGCTCGTGTTATCTCCACCACCAACGATAAACCAGTTCTCTCCAATCGTCACACCAGCGTGTCCAGCGCGTGGAGTTGGTGCTTCACCTTGTTGTGTATGTTTTGACCACTCCATCTATAATATAGAAATATGTTAAGAAGCCGACAAAGAGTGTTGTTGAGAAAAAGAGAAGCTTAACATACAGTTTGCAGATCAAGGACGTGCAGATCATTAAAACAATTTGTATGTGATCCTCCGCCAAATATTAGAAGATATCGCTCAGCATGCACTGCAGCAGCGTGATCAGACCTTGGAGATGGAGGAGAACCCCTGAAATTTGACAGAAGTTTAACCTTGAACTGCTGATCTTTTGTTAACAACTAAAATATGAAAGTTGATAATTGGCGGCTTTGTGAAATTTCCTTCAATTTCTGAATTGGTATCTTCTTTAAAAGAAATGAATAAAATGCAGAAACGTCATAAGATCTTACACGGCATCTATCTCATCCCAGGTCATGGTATCCAGATCAAGTATATGCAAATCATTCAGAAGCGATTTATTTGCATCCTGGCCGCCAAATATCACCAATTTATTTCCCACAGGAGTCACTGACTGGCCTCCACGCGAAATCTGCAAGCAAGAGAGAGTGGTAAACATAGTGTCGAAGATGCCAAACTACATACTCTCCATTTCAAATATCAGAAAGAAGATCAATAAATTGTATTCAGATACAACGTGACACCTGGGAATACTAAGAAGGAAGAAAGAGTAAATTTTCAGTATTTTTTCTAATGTTCAAAAGTGTTTACTAGGTTACTAGATCGGAAGGTTTCCCATATAAGGATTAGAAAACTTAGGTGAAAAGATTATGTACCGGTGGCTTCCCATCTGTCTTTAAGATTGACCATGTACAAGTATGCAGATCAAAGACCTTGACTGTGACGAGAAAACAGAAGAAAAAGTGAGATTCAAAATTAGTATGCACAAAACTATAACTTACCTGAAATTCGCCACCTCAAAAGTGTTTAAACTCCTACCTAGAATTGATTCTGAGGGATCCTTAGCATGGCCACCGATAGACAGAAGTTTGTTGTCCCATGGTATCTACATAACAAACAAAGAAGGCCAGTGAGAACAATGTATATCTAGATTATTTTCTGCTATAAACTAGTAGCATGTGGATTTCCTTGAGGAGATGACTGTAGTTTCAACCTGCCTTTGATATATCAAAGCTAGAAAACCAAAGAAGAGAAACGCGAGTTAGAATACAAACCAGCGAATGACCAGCACAGTGAGTTAGCGTTGCTGGAGATGATGTTTCCTCTGATTCAGTCACAACCTTGGTTTCAACTCTTGACCAACTCCAGTTTTTTAGATCTAGAACCTGTATTCCAAACCATTTACAGAAAACATGCTTATATGCCACATAAAATAATAGGAGAAGATTCTTGAAGTTAGGCAAAAATGAAACCAAATATTTTGATTAGATATAGTTAATGCTTTACAAAGAATGCTAAAAGTTGCTTACATGAAGATCACCCAGATAACGCCCGTTGTAATTTCCACCGTACATATACATCTTCTCTTGAATAACCGCTGCTCCATGCTGAAATAGTAAACAAGAATTAGAGAAGAGATAAGGTATACGAAGAGATACTCTTCTTTCATGTTCCACAGGATTTTAGATAATATAATACCTCATACCGAGCTTTTGGTGTCTGGCCTGATGTTGGTGGTGCCGTCCATTGGTTATACACAGAAACAGTATTTGGGTTTTCCAAAACTACATCTTTATCTTGGGTTTCCGCCATTCTCTCATCCTCTGTAGCAGTTGTCATTGTCGCATCAAAAGAAGCTCCATTCTGAACACTAGGCTCGGCCTTTGTGCTCTGTTACAGAGAATCAATCCCAGTTACAAAGTGAGTAAGATACTTCTCTTTAAGAAAAGGGATAAAAAATTTGAAACTAAACGTGGAATGGTGTTATATAAAGGATCAAACATCTCAGGCGAGGCATTAGCAATACATGCACAAACTGAAACTTGATCCTATGTATAATCAATGAATTTTTTTTTTTTAAATTGGGACTCACACTGATTTGGACATCTACAGCAGGATCTGGGACAGAGTGTTGTGATATTGGATTCCAACTAGGATCTTCATCCTTTTTTTTTAAATGAGCAATAGGACGAGAATTAGACGCTGATCCACAAATTAAGCAAAAAGGAGCATAACAGTCTCTGTTTGTTGGTTACCTCTAGAAATTTCACAAAGTGATGCATTGCCTCAGTGGACGACATAGTTCCAAGCCCCTGCCAACTAGTAAAAACATATACATCTCTTAAGAAAGATCACAACTACCACTTCCTGTGCTCTATGTTCATAAAACACTATCCCAAAAGTAGCAAATTGTGCAAAGTAGGTTTGTATTTGCATAATGGGATTCTCTATGATGACTTTCCCACGGCACGTGACCAGCATGTTTGCATACAGTACATACCAAAATTAAATGTAACTCTTTCATTTATTCCACATCTCAAAATACTCTCTTATAACTAACATCTACAATACTATTTTTTTTTCTTTTTTGCGTTGCTGTGATTTATGAGACATGTTAATGTAATATTCATTAGTAAGCTAGAAAATGTAGCCTACACTGATGGAAGCTACATAACGTATCCTACATTGATGGAATCTTAAGCCTCTCCTTATAGTATATGAAGGCAAACCTTTTCCACTTGCTTTGCTCAGCAGGATTCCACACACTAGGTTTCGGTACATTGCAAGGTCCCACAGTAGCCTGTTAACATGTCAAAGGCACTGTATCATTAATCCATTTTCTTTTACCACAACGATGATTAAAACAATCAATTAAAAACGGCAATGGAAATCAATCAATCAATGCTGTTAGATCATCACAAGATCTCGTGGAAATTCGAATTAGAGAGATTGATAGGGACCTGTTTGTGAAGCGCGTAGAGAAGCAAGGCGGTGTCGTTGGAGAATCTGGAGCTG